TATATTTATATATATATATACGTGTGTGTGTGTGTCTGTGTGTGTGTGCGTGTGTTCCCAATAGAGCAGCACATATATATAACATTTGTATGTTCCTTTTGTTGCAGATTCAGCTGTTTTCACACAAGCTGCCATTACTACCCCTGCAAGCAATCCTGCTAAGGAAAAACTGAAGAAGCTAATATAAATCGGTGAAGTCGACGAGTGTTATGGAAAGCAGTACCGCTGGAATCTTATCTATATGATATTTCAAGAAGCAGCATAAACCGTAAAAAATTATCCTCCGACTGTGTTTACATTTGCAATATCTATTTCTATGGGGGCAAGTAACCCTATGAAAAGCGTGCATCTGTTTGGTTATATGTGTTTCCTTTGATCTGTTTGTTTTCGCGGCTCACTAAAGTATTACTACATCATTGTTTGTCTATACTATTGTACTCACTGTGTCTCTCTGTTTGCGCATCTCTTCTGTGGCTGTGCTGTACTTGTTTTCGACTGAAAAACAAGGAAAGCTGGTTGACTTGCGCCGAATATTCAAATAAACAAATCAATATACAAATAATCATCTTAATTTTTTGGGGCACTAACGTGACACTGACGGCGAATCGCAAATGGCTATGCAGTTGTTCATATTCTTAATTTTCGTTTTCGTGGTCTTGCTGTTGTATGGTTTCTGAGACTCTGTACACATTAAGTGATTTCAGATATCAATTCAATTCTTTTGATATGAATTTCTTTGCTTCAGTATCTAGTGCAGCTTTCTGCACCAACATACAGTTCGTCTGCCTAGCAGAGATGTACACGGATAAATAATGATATTCACGGACAAACAAGAGTAGGATCATAAAGCCAAGTCCGAAGGAAAACCGCAACCGCCATGTGAGGTGGAAAGGCCTCAGAATGTAAAATTTACACTCTGATATTTCTTCATAGATCCGCTGCTTTTCACCTCAATGCTCTACCGAGCATGTTGCTCGGAGCAGCAACTACAGTTAGGCTAATCCCGCAGCAAGTGATCCCCAGCATACTGAGGCAAACAACGGCGGTTTCGAAAGCTATTCGCTGTGCATAACGGCGGACGGATAAGCGGAATAACTAGGTAGCTAGCTAGCTAGCTTCCTATGCGGCGGAAATCTGCCTGTCTAGGCAGAGATAGCTGCCAGGATGGCGCCCAAACCGGCAGTTAGAATGCTGGGAACGGCAACATTTGCAGAGCTGGTTACAATAGGATCCTCCAGATCTTCCTCCTTCATATCTTTTAATTGAGTTGTTCGTTCCTTGAGTTCCTTGAAGTACTCCTCGCTGAAAGAAAGACGAAACAACCAGACAGAAACGAAGAATACATCTCCAGCAATTGTTGCTGTTCACGTCTCACTCCTTTCATAAGACCGATCTAAATATTCAAATCCAAAAGCCAAAGCTTACCTAAAAGCGGCTTCGTTCTCTGCTGCTGCAGGTTTTAATTCACAGAAAAGCACAGACTTTTCTGGTGCATCATCTGACTCGGAGAGCACACCAACGTCACCTGCTGTTTTGACACAATTTGCAATGACACAGGCGACTTTAGTGCTGCTGGCTCCGAGAAGGTGCAACACGCTGAGAAGCTTTGCGTTTCCCCATATATTTCGCCACGCCGATGTGTCTGCCGGATATGTTGCGCTGTGAAGTAGAAACAATCAGCGCAACACAACATAAATGTAACGGCTTGAATATGGATGACGAGAAAGTGGCGACGGTAGCATGGTAGACGAACTATGCATCAGCGCTGTCGCTTTGGTTTGTTAAGGCAACAGGTTGAAGCTGCCTGTAGCGAAGATGAATATCGGTGCACCTTACCCGAAATCTGTTAGTCCGGTATTCAGAGCATCCTGCACCAGTTTACGGTAGTCTGGATTGTCTTTGTTGTCGACAGTGACATTGAAGAGCTTCTTCTGCACACCCAAAAGAGGAACGAAACGACAAAAGAGCTCTCCTATGTTCGGACTCTCTCAGATAATCATAGGAATAAATGCATAATTCCTGTCTGGCCTGACAACGGTGCACCGAGTTCAGACCTGCAGCTGATGATGACACAGCAGTAGCCGTAGCAACATCATGCAAACAGGCCTTTTATATTGTATGCGCTCACAAGGTCCTCTGTTAGTAATTCATCGCACGAGGCTTTAGGTTCTGCTTCGTCGGCTTTTACTTTTGTCTCCAAGGTGCCGACGAGCTCAGTGTCCTTTTCGACTAAACTGGTCTTAGCTGAAATTTGTCCATTACGGGCCAAGTTGACTGTCAAGTAGGCGTCTGCAAAGAACAAAGGCGGACAGGAAAATCAATGTGCAGTGAAGCGACCTTCGTCTGAGTCAGCCAAGTAGCTGACCGCTTGACAGCAAACAATACGGGGTAGAACACAAGAAACATAGGAATTATAACGGGTAATACGTTTACCTTCGCCCACTTTTGCTACTTCATATTTATATGTTGCTGGGGTTTGCGCCCCGCATTGGAGCCCAAAGAGTCCGACGAGGCAAAATGCTGCGGCGGTCTTGTAGAAGGGAGCCATTGTGACAGAAGGCAAGAAAATTTTTAAAAAAGTGTTCTAGACAAGAGAAATATAAATATTCAAATTGAAGGGAGCGGAAAAGACGGCAAGCAGTTCGGAGTTATCTGCGTGGTCCTGCAGTCGCGTGAACGGCGAATGGCAAAGAACGGGACAGCAAAGCCAAAATTGCACACAAAAGATAAAATTAAATAAATTAATATTGAGCAAAAATAAAACAAATAGAAATTGTTGTACACGACTTATCCCCTGAAATAAACCATTTAATTTAAACAAATGCAAAGAACAAGCAACACAAGAGACGCGGCAGGTCGGCAGGCGCGGCAGGTCGAGGTGGTAAGAGGAGATATATACCTCTGTGGGTTGTTGCTTGCGCCTTGGTTTCGGGTTACGTCTGCCTTCTCACACCACTCAACGGTTATAAGCCAATTAAACAAATCATTTTAGTTCCAATAAAAGCTAGATCCATCTCCAAAAACTCCTTTTATGGGGGGATACAGCGGGAAGCCCCCCCTCTGCCTCCTGCTCATCGGGGGGGTGCTGTGGCCCCCTTCCGGTGCTCTACGACTGGGCTTTTTTGCCCTGTGACGGCCTTCATGTGCCCTTTATCCGTGGAACGTGTTATGGCTTACTGCCACGTGCAGACAGCTCAAGCAGCGGCAATGGTGTACGCCAGCTTCCTTGGTGTTTGCAAACGTCTGCAGAGCCAGTGGCTTGGTTGTGGTGGCGGTCTGAGCGAAGGGTCGATGCTGGTGTTTGCACAGGCAATGAAGCGTCAATTCCCCTCCCTAAACCAAAATAATAATTAATTAATTTATTAAGATGTTTAAATACAAACAAATACCGTGGATATGCCCCAGCTAGTCTCGAAAAAAGTTGAACAGAAGTTCTTGGTCCTACGGTTCGGGGTGTAGGGTTTCGGGCTTTATGGTTAGGCAATTGAAGCAGGATCTGGGGCTCGACCCGCCTGAAGCTGTGTTTTGAATTTCTGCTGGAGTGCAGGCTGGTTGTTGGCGGCCAGTGAATGGGGCAGCATATACCTGCAGTGTTAATCTATTCGGGGGGGTGGTGCGTGGATATGCATACGTAGGCCCGTCATGAGGTGCAGCATAGTGAGCACTTAAGAGGAAAATTTTAAAAAAGCTGCTGATAATCTCCTCTCCATCCTTTATATACCCCAGGCACGGAGGTTCAGTGGCCTGACACTGATGCTGAGAAGAGGTGACCTCTAGCCAGTTGCAACAAACCCTGCTGCTGCTGCTCCTGCAGAGCGGTTGCAGATTAGAGCACAAGCAGCTGCCTTGATCTTCTTAGCTAGTTTGTTAAATTAAGATGTGGACTTCTTTTTTCTCTCAAAAGCATTCACTTCTTGCTGAGGAGCCGCCCGTACAAATCTGCGTCGTTGAGTTCAAGGCGGCGGTGCGGGGAGTAGAAGAAGCTGAATTTCAGAGTACTATTGAACAGAATGATGAATTATGTTCAAGGAACAGGCAAAATATGAATAATAAATAAAATGGATACTTTTTCATGAACGTCGTTGTAGGCAATATTAAATAATAAATTGGATGAAATACTACATATTATTAGTAAGAAATAATAATACTGGGCATAAACATATGGTACTACTGCAACAACAACACAC